CTAACTTGAGAGCATGGTAAAGAAAGACCTCAACACAGCTATTTCGTATAGCAATCAACAGTCATCATAGCCAGAATGATCGCCAACGTTCGGAACGGACAGACACCCTAAGAAGAAGAAGTCTTCCAATAATGTCACTCCATAAAACACTTAACTCCATATAATTTGCTCGTAGATTTTTCTACGTAGTTATTTAACTTTTTTGTACATTTCTAGGTTTTGTGACGACCGAATATGTAGTTTTGTATCTTCTGACTATATTTCTTAGACTCTAGTATATTATTAGCGTGAGAATTACAACATATTCGCGATTTCCGAATTGGATTTTCCAGAATTAAAAAATCTAATAATTTACAATCCACAAACGGCAAAAAGCTTTACAATACTACAAAATACATTTGACATTAACTGACAATATTATTGTTTTGATGTCATTTTTCCATAGCTGCCTCTGTATTTAACGTAATTATGAAAAAATGAATGCATTGACATATAGAATTTTTCGTATAAAAAAGCTTGCACGTCATTCAAGATTTTCGTCGTCAGAACCCACATCGTTGCCAAAACATCAGAATAGTTAGTAAGTGAGAAATTTTTAAAATGTCAACTATTAGTCGAACTATTTTATTAACAGTAAATACACTTAGTTTTAAGAGTACTGCAACACATTAAAATACCTAAGAAAACATTTTAATACAAAATAATATATTCTAAATTTTAAACTTATGCCTTGTAGGACTTTAATAGTAAAAACATCGCGCCATTATTTCTTGTTCAAAATAATCTATCTTATACGAAAGCTTATCAGCTTTCTACAGACTATTTATTTGTTTTGGCATATCACCATCACAATACACTACAATAATTAGTTTTTAAAGCTATTAATCTTAATTTAATATGTATTTATAAATACAACATATTAATATATATTATATTATGATCAAATTGTGTAAGAAATCAAAACATAAACAAAATTCTTACTCTAAAAAAGCGGCAACACTTTATACACTTTTGCTACACGCTTAACTGTCAATACAATTTGAAGGTCCGTTTTGAATTTGAAGGAATTTCCGTATCAGGTGCGTAAAATTGTCTAATATATTTAATTAAAATTATTATTTTGTGAAATATTAGACTTAGAGTTATTTCATAAAATTTCTATTATTTTTAAATGTTTTTGGTTATTTAATCAATATAATTCTAAAATTTCCAATATAATGATGATTACATTTTTCTGATTATTACACCATGTTGACGGCTATGAAAGATCGAGCAGTTTCGTATGGGTTTTGTATTATTAGCTGTGTTAGGACAATTGGAAATTTTAAATACAAGTGACGTCACTTTGTATAAATCGTGACGTGCAAGTGTTTTAGTTTGAAAAATGGTATAAATGAATGCATAGCCAGGGTTTAGTGATTTTTTTATTGTTGAAAATAAATAAAACACCATAAGGCTAATATTTTTAATAAATGTTAATGAAAATGCCATATTAATTAATATGACATTTTTAGTAATATGACTTACATTAATATAAGCTGCAAATTCCATAGGTGGGCCAACTCATATGGGAAGGAGCTCGTATTTATGTATGTGTATGTGTAGCCACTTTTGACAAAGCATCTATTACGTCAATTCACCAAAGTTCAATAAGTTACTAAAATTGTTCAATCCGACTGTGCAAATACAAATATTTTTAAAAACATATTAAACCATATTTTTTACGAAGATGTTTTTATTTTATAACTAATTGAATATTTTGTTTGCAATCGCAATAAACAAATTATCAACATTCTAAATGTTGGAATAATAAACATGTTTATTTATTTATTTACCATTTGGGTAATAACAGGTAAACAAAAATCGATTAAAATTAACGAATTAATAAATTGTGTGAGATACATTAATTTTCATTGAGTATTGATTGCCCCTATTCCAGAAAAAAAAACAATTTATATAGGAATTCGTCGGTCAACCTTTAGATCTCATAGATACCACACGCCGTTTCGAATATATTTCGTCCTTCAAATATTCTATCTATATTGACAAATTTTTGTCCAGATATTAGATCTCTCCTATGCTAGGAATTTTTATTATGTCTTTTTGTGCCTGTCAAAAAATGAAAACGAGCACAGTGAAATTAATATACGAGGCTTCTTAACATTTAAAAAGTACATGATAAAATAAATAACAAAAAAAAAATTTGATTTGTTTGTATTTTAAAATTGCTGTGTTTAAAATTACACATAGGGACATAGATCCTGTATAATTTTTTAATAAAACCTGATTAAACCAATACTTTCAAAGTATGAACTATGGGAACACACTGAGGATTTTTTTTTAAATGAATAATTGTAAACCTTAGACTATAAAAACAATAATGTGGTATATAATAATTGAACATACTTTCAGCTTTCAGCTGAATTGGTTCTTCAACGATGTGATATGTATGATGATGGTATCAAAGATTACACGCTGCTGCACTGATTTTTATATAAAAACAAAAGTTTTCCAAATCCGTTTTTTTCTATCGTGCACAGGTTTTTATTGCTATACAGATTGCATAAATATGCATTAAATTTAGAAATATGACCGAAGGTTTTATCATCTGGTGATGGAATTGTTGAGACTTGTTCAAAAATGTAAATGAGTGTAAAAGGAAGTATTTCGAGATATTGATAAAGTACCTACTTATTTGTATACATTTGATAACCCTGCTAATTATGGCGAGAAGTATTAGCCTCCTGGTAAGCTTGATCGAGATCTTAGAGATCGAGTTTGAATAGCTCTAATGTGTTGTCTTATATTTGTGGGTGTTTTGTGGTTATAGAACAGAGACAACATATTACTAAATTTGTAGAAAATCTGTACTTTTCATATTTTGGTGTAAAACTTAACGATCAAGAGAAGGCGTGGACCCCTCATATTGTTTATCGAACGTATGCCAAGTTATTGCAACTATATTTAACAAGTAAAAAGAAAGCTGTGTCGTTTGGAACACCGATAGTTTGGAGAAAACCATCAAATCATGTGAATGATTGTTACTTTTGTCTGACTAATATATGTGCGGCTAGTCAGTTAACAACAAGAAATCTATTGTTTATCCTAACTTACCTTCTGCTATTAGACCAATAGCTCATAACGACTCTATACCTGTTCCTACCCCTCCTACTGTTGTAAGATCTTAATAAGATATGATATTAGTGATGACTGTGACTGAAAGTAGTGACAATGAGAACAATGTCTGTGATTAGGCGTAGGAACCTGTAGAAGATCGCTCTCCTAAACTTTTTACTCAAGAATAATTAAATGATTTTGGATAAAAGATGCTACAGAAGTTCTTAAATGCAGATTGAAATCAAAAAGTCCTCTAGCAACAAGTATCATTTTTTCTTGGTATCCTCATCGTGAACGAGAACTTGATCCTTACTTTCAAGAAAGAGATGAAGTGGTTTTCTGAAATAACATTCAATCAGTAATGGAATATTTTGGAATTTACTGTAAACCTAGTGAATTGAGACACCCAACATCTGGCGCTCCATAGCCCTCTGAGTCACGCGAATCTTATTAACTAACTTTTTGTGATTGTTAATATTTCCGCTCCATAAGTGAGTACAGGTAACACACATTGATCAAAGATTTTCCTTTTGAGGCATATGAGTAGATCCGATTTAAATACATAGTTTAATTTACCAAACGCTGCCCAGGCTAATCCTATGTGACGTGGGAGCTCACAAGTCTGGTTATCTCTGCCAACCGAATTTCATGTCCTAAGTAGTAGTCTGCACAATCTACCTTCCATCGACAACAATATTTTGATTTAGCACCAGATTAGTCATTATATTAATGGCAAGTTACAATGATTGCATATTAATGGCAATGCAAGTTACATATTATTATATTACAGATATAAGTTCAGACATTAAATTGCAGAGAACTTTCTTCATCTGTTGGAAGGCACTCCTTGATTTTTCGATCCTACATTTAATCTCATATGAGTGATCCCAGATGTCTGTGATGTTGCATCTTACACTCACTTTTAATAAATTTAAAAAAAAATACGAAGATTTTTTCGTTAAAAAAGAGAATCGTAGACTTAAAACATTATGGTCAAAACTTTGTAAAGTAAATATCCTTCCTGCGCTTTTATATATCCTAAACTGGAAAATTATTAGTAATTTTCTTTATGTAATTATAGTTTCAACAATTATTGTTTATTCTTAAATCAACCAATTTGAAACAGTTTATACAAATGTAAGTAAAAACACAAGTTCGTTTTTAATTTTAATTTCAATCAAATACCACCTTTATTCAATAATATTTTCACATTTGGCAGAATGCGATCCTAGTAACTGTCAAACGTGTGTAGAATTGCATGCAAAAATCCTCATAAAAAACATACCCATAATACAGTAGGTCATAACTTAAAGAAGAGCTTGGAAAACATGTAAATCCAAATTGCTCTGATGATGAAATATTTATTTATTTATTTTCAACAGACTGCTGCCCAATAACATTAATGGTATATTAGATTAGATAGAATAGATATTGTTTATCATTTATTTCATAGAAATTACCGTGTTTCCATACTTTTTCGCTAACCTGTATATTTCCTTAATACGGCAATAAATAATACTATTTTATAGGTATATAGCTAACTAATTAATAAATTTTATTGTCTGTACATGTGACATTTACAGCCATGAATGAACCTCTGTGCTGCCAAGCCTGTATGGTCGAGGAATTAACGATGTACACGGTGGCAGTGTGGTTAGCTGGTTGTGATATTTGAACCACGACCACTATCCATACTTCCTTCGTGAATATCGTTGAAGCATCAGTGTCCAATCTGTGACGTTAATCTCAAGAAGAATGTGTACGATTTTAATGTCCTGGTCTTTATTTTTATTAAGCACTCATAACTGCTCGTAGTCGAATTAACATTTAAAATAACTTAAATATTTAACTACGTGATACTTATACAGATTTTTTGTTTTCAGGGCTGCTTACGTGTCGTTCGGAGGGCTGTTAATGCGTCTACAAGGTGATGCCAATAACTTGCACAGTTTCGAAGTGGATCAGCATATGTATTTATTGATGAAGAAAATTTTCATGTAATTTTGTACCTAAATTTAAATATAGGATTTTAATAAATATAAGTACAATTTTGTGTTTTCATTATCATCAGTATCAAATATAACTACTGCAAAATATAACGCTGTAGAGATGTCAACTATGACGAATACATATGTTTTGTCGACTTCAAGTCACTTGGGAGAGAGGAAAGTAACAAACACTATCATATCAAAAAAGAAAACAGCATGATTTAGAGAGGAAGTAAAGACAAAATGTGTAGAAAATAAGAAAGCCTTTTTAGAATACAGCACGAATACAACAGACATACAACCACTATAAACACAACACTGGCAGAGCTTCTCAAAACAGATGGAACACGACTTCTACGTAATACAGAAATAAATAAGGAGAATGATCAGAGGACAAAGAAAAGATATGAACGAACGAAACACATTCAGAATGAAAGATGGGCAGACTACTTTCGTTCCGTATTTGCTAAAGATGACGATAATGAACCATCAACACCAGAGGGTGACGGCAAACGAAGGAATAAATATTGAGGAGGAAGAGGTAAAAGAAGTATTGAGGAAATTAAAAAACAGAAAATTAACAAGAGAGGACAGAATATCGAACGAACTCCTAAAGTATGGAGGACTAGATCTGACCAAATAACTACTAAAACTAATCCAAAAACTAATTGAGCAAAACAGAAATCCTTAAGAATGGATATTAAGTATCCTAATACCCCTCTTCAAAAGGAGAGACAAATTGGAGCCGGAAAATTACAGGAATTAATTTATTAAACACAACACTAAAATTAACAACCAAAGTGTTATCAAATAAACTAAATGAAACTATCTCACTATCAGAAGATCAACAAAGTTTTAGGTCGGTAATATCGATATTTATATTCAGGGAAGGGCATGAGAAATCATTAGAATACAACAAACCGGCATACCTATGTATCGTGGACCTTAGAAGGCATTTGACATGGTGAAATTAAAGGACGCTATCCATTTATTGTACGCAAGAGAGATACCTTTAGGAATAATCAAAACGATCAAAAATATCTACCAAAACAACACTATAAGAGTAGTAAACGCAGAAGAAGAACTAACCGACTATATTGAAGCTGACAATGGGATAATACCGGGAGATTTCCTGAGTCCTCTATTGTTCAACCTGATTATGGGTGAAATAATAAAAAAAAGTAAGAACTAAAAAAGGATCACAAATGGGAGAAAAACAATGTAACAATCTGCTATGCAGACGATGCGTACTACTTTCTTAACGTGAATATGATTTACAATGTAGTATGCTGCTCCAATTTAATATAACCATCAGAAAATTTAACATGTTAATTTCTCCAAAAAAACAGCATGGTTGCATGAATGAAAGAATATGGAGAAATAAAAATATCGGGAAAGAATGAAAGGCAGAATTTACAAAAAATCAAGAACTGTGTTAGAAATAGTAGAGTAGAATGGAATGATCATATGAGCCGAATGACAACAAATAGAGTCATAAAGACTGCAATAGACGGTTCTCCAGTAGTAAAACCACGTAAATGATGGAACGACAACTTACTGGAGGCACATTAAAAAACAGACAGCCATGTCTACATAAAAAGAGGAAGAAAAAAATCACCAAAACTACAAAAAATACTGGTGCGAAGACAAAAAAACTAGAACTATTATGTAAAAGTGTAACAGAAAAAAAACTACTCATATTACTAACACGACTCAGCAAACGAATATTAAATATGTGTCTGATAGATGAAGAAAACGATGATAGAAACATGATGAAACTAGCACTGAAAGAGGACAACAAATTAAACGTAACAAAAAGTGATACAGCCAGAAAACTACAGAGGTATAAACTCATTAAATACTACGCTAAAACTTACACCTAAAATTTTACAAGTGCTAATAAATCAGAGGATAAGTTTAGCAGAGGAACAACAGGGTTTTCGTAGTGGAAGATCGTCTACAGATGCAATATTCATATAAAGCAAATTACTGAGAAATCACTAGAATATAATAGACCAGCATTTCTGTGTCTGATTGACCTGAAGAAAGCGTTTGAAGGAGTAAGACTCAAAGATCTAATCCATATTCTGTATAATAGAGAAGTTCCCCTAAATATTATAAAAGCTATCAAAAACCTCTACCAAAACAACAAAATGGAAGTCAGAATAGATGGACAACTTACAGAACCTATAGAAATAGGCAGCGGAATAAGACAAGGGGATTCATTGAGCCACATGCTCTTCAATTTGATCATGGATGAAATCATCAAAACGGTTAACAAAGGAGAGGATATAGAATGGGGAACAAAGAAATCAAAATATTCTATTAAGCAGACGACGCAATATTGATAGCCCAAGATGAAGATAGTCTGCAAAGACTGGTCCACAGATTTAACATAAGAGCAAAAGAATTTAATATGACAATCTCAGAAAATTACCAACCATATGTAAAATAGAAATTGATGGCATCAGTATTGAATAAGTAATGGAAATAGTATATCTGGGAATTACACTGTCTAGCTATGGTGACCTGGACAAAGAAGTAAGAAAATCAAGTACAAAGAGCAAGACTGGCAGGATGCCTTCTCCATTATATGGAGAAACAGACACATTAACACTGAGATGAAATCAAGAATTTATAAAGCCAGTGTAAGACCAATAATGACACATGCCTCAGAAACAAGACCCGACACAGCCACAACGCAATGGCTATTGGACACGGCAGATATGAGAGTAGTACCGAGAATTACAGGAAATACGCGGGGAGATTGAAACAAGTGAAGATATTAGAAGACAATGTAACGTACAGTGTATAAATAAATGGAATCAAAATAGAAAAAAAAAAGAATGGAATAACCACATAAGCAGAATGGGGGAGACCCGTGTCGTCAAAATAACAAGAGGTAAGTCACCAATCGGCAGAAGTAACTGACGACCGCGGAAGAGATGGAGTGACAACCTTCCATAGAGGTAATAATCCGCCAATCGACAAGCAGAATTGCTTATATAAAGGGAAAGAAGAAGAAAAAGAGATAACAAAACAAGAAGAGAGTAAAACTAGCAACCTGGAACGTTCAACCATTATTGAGATCAGGGAAATGGAGGAGGTAGTCAGAGAAATGCAGAGATACAGAATAGACATACCAGGACTACAAGAATTAGGTAAAGATGGAAAGGAGAAGGAAATATTAAAAAAAATTACACAATATTCTACTGGGGAGAAAACAAACAAGGGAAAATGATCATTTATGTATTTAAAATTAAAAGCTATGAATGGACAAATGTGATATATAAAAATAGAAATTAAACAAGTAACAAGAACAACTGGAAGAATTATACTAAAGATTGCCCAGAAATGACATAAGAACACTAAAATATGGAAGTAGCAGGGAAAGAAACTATTCAGATATGTCGCACACTCATACTAATATCCAAAAAATGAAACACAATAATGTGTGATGTCAGATCATAATATGTTGATCCCTGTACTTCATCTTCACACCTAGGGACCGAATTTTACAACTCTACATGTTTGCAAGTTTTACGCGATAATGGAAATTAACATGAAATTTTGATTAGGAACTGGTATTGTTAAAGTGCAATTTGTACATGAAATAATTTTAAAAGTACCTACATTTTTATATTCATCGATATGTGTGAACTCATTTATTTTCTATGCCATCAGTGGCATGTATCTTGGTGCACTAACATCTTAATTAAATATTTTCGAAACTATATTTTGTTTTATCTCAACATGCTAAGTTTTACCTGCATGGTATAGTTGTTAATGTATTGGCTAGCACCTATTTTGTCTTTATCCAAAGTTTTGGCGATTATTAGTTTATTCATTCTCTGAATAGACCTCATCATTTGTCTGAAATCTTTTAATGTCTCGTTCACAAGTTGTCAAGGTTAACCTATACTATTATTAGCTTCTTGATCCTAATCCCAGCTATATTTCCCATAAAATTCTGAGCCGTATTTAGTAATATCCAGTTTATTCTAATATATTTGTTTGCCCTTATTGCACACTCTCAAAATGATACTTATCTTTATATCGTACAGCTATCCAATATAGTTGAACTACATTTTTCTTCATTACTGACATGAATTCCTATCAAGGCATTATTTTCTTTGCTATAAAAGGTACATTCAGTTATAAGACATCTTCCTTATTGTTTAGCTAGTTTACCCAGCATAACATCATTCCCTTTTAATCACCTCCCTAAATTATTATACTAAGATGGTCTTTCATTTCCGGACATGCAATGATTCTTGTTCTTACGTAACCATTAATCTGCTAAATGAGCAGTCCATTACTTCCCAGCTGTTGTTCTCTACCCATAACAGGTTTCACATCTGGGTAGTAATGTAATATCTATTTTGCTCTCTTTAAATGCCGCCATATTCATAATATATTTCTCTATATCAAGCCTCATCTTTGTTTGCACCCGATCTTTTATTGAATAAGTTCAAATGTTTTAACTGTCATCCAACTCTTGATTTATTTGGTTATTTCCAAATTTCAAAAGTTAAATTTCTATTGAGCTATAGCATGTTTTTCTTCTACACTAACCTTTCTGGCCATTTTTTCTTTAATTAGTTGACAGTTTTCTTACTTTTAGTAGTGTATTATTAGAGCTTTCATTAAATTTGTTCCAAAATGCTTTAATTATGCCCTGGAACTTATTTGTTAATATCAAGGTAAACTATGTTCAACAACATGTTCAGTTGGATAAACTAGAGCAACAAGCTTTACTTCATCAATATGTTTGAAGTTGATTTCCCTACCTATGTATTTTATCAGGCTTAACATAAGGAGATATTAGAGCAGATATTACCAATTTTTGGTTGAGTTTACCAAAAGTACAAGCTGATTATAGCCACAAATGTCAAACATGGAACAAAAAATTTTGGTATAGCAGTGTTGGTGTGTTGTTATAATGTAGATGCTGTATACTTCAAACATAAAAAGATTAAGCTTTAGAAAAGTATATATTGTTTATATTATGTTATGAATTCTGCAATTTGTGATTTATATAAAACAACAAGTAAATATTTCTTTGGAGATTAGAAATTTTATTAGCAATTACTCTTTGATAGATTATGGGATAGATTTAGCAATCGTCAAATCAGCACTTGCCAGATTACAAAAGATGTTTGCAATTAACCTCGAACGAGATAAATATCTACTGGTTATTGCTTGATATAAATTAAAAATTGCAGAATTAATAAAATAGTGTAATTAAAATGTACTTTTTAAAAGCTTTATCTCTTTATATTTGAGGCATACAATATATGCATTATAAAAACATGCCAACACTGCCAAATCGAAATATTTTTGACATTTGCGGCTATATTCAGCTTGTACTTTCAGTAAACTCACCCAATTTTGTTATAAAGTATTTTGATTTTTTTGTTGATTTGGAGGTTAACAGGTTAGAAAAAGTCCTGAGTCCTGAGCTAATTCAAAGTTGTAATTATTAACATCATATTCATCATGTCTTGAACATAAAAGGCACCTTGGTAATTCAGTCCGATTCTTCCCGCATACTTCCAATTTTTTCAGCAATTTGCTCATTATAAACATAATAAATTTTTGTTCAAGTTGTCAGTATTTCCAAAATCTGAAAATATCCATCAAATTGTGTTTAATGGATATTTCCTGATGTTAATTTAACATCTGTATATATTAAAGCTGTCTAGGAACAAAAAATTAAGTACTTACACTAAAATTTAGTGGTTTGTAGATAAAAGATTAAAAAAAACCCTTTTTAAATGATTTTTATTTAATGTTGAAATACTTATTTACATATAAAAATTAAATACAACTTGACTAACATGTTCTAGTACCACCTGAAACAGAATATTTGTTAATTAGATATAAGAGCAAATTTATAAACATCTCACTATAAAACTTACTCATAATTTAAGCTTTTGTGAGTTGGTGTCTAACAATAAGGAATGGTGCACCAAATCCTGAGCCAAAGAAAGCAATCATCATAGCTGTTAACTTGAATCTGTTGTGAATGTCAAAGGGAAGGTTCTGAAAATAAATCAAATTATTAATATAAATACAGGAGTGTCTTTTATTTATTAGTAAAAGTTTGTGAATTCAATAATTACAATTTTACAATTCAAATTGTAAAAATTATGTATAAAACAATAATACCCCATTATTGTTGCTGGATATTAAAATAATTTCAATTTATACTTTTATGTATTTGACTTTCAAAATTTTTGATAAAGAAATAGAACATTTGTGTTAAGTGTATTGACTAAAATTTTTATTTATGTTAGATTTCTCAAAAGTTGATGAGCTGAATTCATCACATGCAAATATTAGCCACATTTTATAATAACGTGTGAAAATTCCGAAACAAAAATTTTACTTAAATCTGTTTTTTCAATTTACTTTCTTTTCTTAAACTGCATATCTTTCATTTTTAATCATATTAGCATCAAGAAGGTTTACAGTTAAGGAAAATATATAAGGGTTGGATGAATTATGTAACAACAGGAAAAATACTTACAACTCCAGGCACACCGCCGTGATCATGGGAAGCTCTGACAATGGCATTTCTGACCATCTGTCTCACTAGCAAATTGCTCTTTCCAATCATTTTTTATGGAAAATGGAATTTATTTAGTTCACAAAAACTTGCAATGACTAAGGACTAACCTCAAAGAAAGTACTTGCAAATGGCTGATTTTAAGTGCGCAGAATCAGACTCATTGCCCAACAAGAGTGCCAACCATCAGAAATGAAAGTACAGACTTTTTTAATATACAGGTCTTTATGGCATTGTAATAACAGTAAAATAATGAAAAATTAAAAGGAATAAGTTGTAAGTATAATTAGTCGTAATTTATAATGTTAAGTAATAAATGTAAAGAATTTGATCCTGCTCTATAGGCAAAACATTATTCAGTTGTTTAATGCAAACACCTATAATTCTTATCTTATTATTATGCCTATGCACCTACTTCGGCAAGTTTATAGTACCTAGATTCGAATAATGATCTACTTAAAAAGCCTTTAAAATAAATCATTAAAGTTGCTTCAAGATGATTTGGTGGAATCTGATGTTAAAAATACCTTTGATAGCCAACTGTTTTATAATATATAAAGACAAGAAGAATATTATAAAGATACGAAGCAAATAATGCTCTTTTGGGTCAAAAATAAGTCAGATCAAAAGCTCTAAAAATACTGTAATACAGGGTTAATATTCAACAAATTAATTGTCAAATTGACAAAAAAATTTTTTTGGGATTTTTGTCAAACTTTTCTCACCTTATCTATGCATAATATAAATAAATGCAATTTGTGGAAGCCAAAAGGCAGTTCCAAAGAACAAAACAAATATTTTGTTCATTTTCCTGGGATCACCAATTGCTTTTCCTCCAGGAATGGCCTAAAAGCATAATTTTTAGTACATTTTAAAATTTGAATACTGAACCTACATCTTGCGGATGGCCTCCCTCTGTCGGTTTGCGAAGATATACACTTCTGGAAGGTACCTTCAAACGATTGGGCAAGAGAAAAATTCCTGATAAGGAATTTTGTTGTTTGCATTTTGATAATTTATGGTGAAAGTTTTACTTACGTCAAATGTCAATAGTTGTTATAATAGAAAACAATTGATTATGACAATACTTAGTTTATTCTTATCACAATTAACATAGGCGGGTCATAAGATGTTTTACAAAACTTTAACGACATTCATAAATACATAATATTAGAAAATTATTATAATTTTAAAATTACCTTTTTTATGTGTATATTTCACATAGAGATTCTAAAAATTATCATAAAAGAGAATCAAAGAAGATAGAAGAGAAATGGATTTGGTACCAGAAACAGCCAACTTGTGATCAACAACAAGGAGATTGAGAGAGTGGTGGAATTTGTTTATCTGGTAAGCAGAATTAATTTAAGGGTGGTACAGAGCGTGGATTACAGGAAAGAATTAAGGCTCGTAATGCCTGTACTATGCTTAATAATGACATATGAAAATCCAGGATTTATCTCCAACATAAATGTAAAAACTGTAGGTATTACTACATGGCTGTGGAACGTGGAAGATATTAGCACGCATAGTAGGTACACCAATTGCAAGTTTTCATTAATAGAGTGTTACGAAAAATCCTTTGTACATTTTGACTTAATCGAATCTCGAATGAAAATTTATGGAACTTACGGAATTTATGAAAATTTATGGAAGAAAATGAAGATAGCTGAGCCACACATTATCTAGACCCCTAGATGACCTTCCCAGAACAGCACTGGATTGCAATCCTCAACGCAAACGGAAAGCAAACAAAGCTAAATAACTTGGAAAAGGACAGTAGCCAGAAATAGAGCGCTGGAGACATTTCGAGGAAGCCCTATGGCCTATGTTCTTCTTAGGAATTTACTTAAGGTACGTTTAATGGTGAAATGATAATCACCCAATGAAGAATCTCAGAATTACAAGTTTATTAAAATTAAATTAGGTATGACTCAAATGCGCTGTTGTGGGAAAAACATTAAAAACACTCCTCACAGTGGCAGAGCAAACTCTAAATAAGGTTGAACAGTGATTTAGTGGAAATAGGCTCTTGCTTAATACTGATAAGACTGTTTTGTTTACTTTAGAACCAGCCAGTCACGAGAACAGTTCCAAGATACAATCGATTTTCTATCATAAAATACAGAACCTGCTAGACCAGTTAAATTTCTTGGTCTTTATATGGACCAAAACAAGAATTGGGGGGAACAAATACAAAATACGCCAAAAAAACTGAATAGCGCCTGCTATCCATTAAGAGTATTGAAGAGCTATCTAGACCAGGGGATTTTACTATCAGTATGTTATGCAAACTTTTATTCTGTTATGCGATATGAAGTAATCTTCTGGGATGCTGCAGTGGATAGCTGTTATGCGATATGAAGTAATCTTCTGGGATGCTGCAGTGGATAGCTCAACTGTGTGTATAGTCCAAAAAAGGCAGTCCGGGTGATGTTAGGACTAAAGGAGGGAGAATCCTATGGAGGCCAATCCAAATCAGTCAATTTACTCACTTTCGCAGCCATCTATATACTTGAATATATTATGTTGCTCCTTAAAAATTTAGTTTGTTTTACCATCTGCTTTCAAAATCATAGATATAAGAAGCCTTAATTTGAATTTATCACTTCACAAATTGTCTAGAACAGAGAGAAGTCCATTGTATGAGTGTGTTAAATTTTACAATAGTCTACCATCTGACATTCAACGGGAGACACACTATAGAGCTTTTAAAAGAAAGGTTTTTCAACATCTAGTTAACATTGAGCCCTATAATGTGGCGGAGTGCCTGGCCTATCTTTCTCCCGATCAGCATATTTCATTTGTAATGTTAATATATTTTAATCTGTGATTTTTGAGTAAAACGGAGTTACAACCAACGAATATCAGAGCGTATGGAATAGAGTTAGAAAGAGTCCACAATATTACCTACTTGGGTGCAAACGTTAACGATAACTGGGATATAAATAAAGAAATAAGAATACGCATTGAAAAAGCCAGAGCCTCCTTCTATAAAATCAGATTAATACGCTGTTACATCTTCTCCACATTGCTGTATGGTATGGAGAGCTGGACCCTTACAGAAACATTAATGAAAAAATTAGAGGCCTTTGAGATGTGGATTTATCGACGAGTATTGCGGATAAGTTGGGTTGATCGAATAAGAAAATAAATAGTTTTACATTGAATGAAAAAGAGCACAGAAATAACAAAAATGGTTAAAAATTCGAAAGTTACAATATTTCGGTCATGCATTGAGACATCCAGAGAGGTATAACCTACACTTCATAATACAGGGTAAGAGCGTCGGAAGGAGGGGCCCAGGCCGACGAAGAACATCCTGGCTCCGAAATCTCCGAGAATAGTATCAAGAAACCACCGCTAATTTATTTAGAGCCGCCGTAAATAAAGTTATTATTGCCAATATGATCGCCAACGTTCGATAATCGGACAGAGTACTGAAAGAAGAAGAGTGATTTTAATATATATTTTTTAATCTGTGGTTAATAATGTGATGTTTATGTAAATAAAAATTTTCTCTACTCTAGTCTACTCTATGGAAGGAGTGAGGGATGAAGACTTAAGTAACCCTTGTGAAATATACTCATGTAAGACTTACGCTAAACCTTTATTTGCTAAATTACAACTGATCTACTTTTACTGAACTACAGCATAAATTACTTCATTCCCATCATAAAGCAGTGGCGAGCACGACTCTGTACTAAGGTCATGAGTTTATTAAAATGTTATCGTATAATTTTACTATAGTTATTCCAACATTTTTAATTGTGTTTGAATCGAGTAAGGATGTTTTCTAAACCAAAATTAGTTTTAAAACACTTTATATTAACGAAAAATGTTTGTAAATCGTCGACAAATGTCTTGAAAACAAACGTAGATGTTCATTCTCAACAGTTCACGGTAGGTTTTATTTGAAAATTGATTAAACTAACAAGTTTTTATACTAACAGTTAGCCTTGAAATAATCAAAAAGTGAGAACTGCATTAGGTAAGAATCAGTGGCGTTATTTTAAATTTGTATCCAGGGACGTCTTAAATAAAAAAAAATAAATCACTTAACTTTTCGTAAATAACTATTCGTATATATAATTAGTTAATAAATTAACTAATTTTTCCGAAATATTTCTCGTAATTTGCCATGGAAATCTTAATTAGTTAATAGAAAATACAATTTTTGATTGTAGGAAAATCGTGAGCGTATGGTCCAACTAGTTGAAACCCTCAGAAGCAAAACCAGCGATGTATTGCAAGGGGGAGGTAAAAAGTCTGTCCAAAAACATATTGCTAAGGGCAAGCTCTTTGTTAGAGACCGAATAAAATTGTTGTTGGACCAAAATACTGCCTTTTTAGAACTATCTGCTCTAGCTGCAAATAATATGTACGAAGGAAATATTCACTCAGCTGGAGTTGTGACTGGGATAGGAAAAATTCATGGGTAAGAATGTTTATAATTTGTTTATAATTCTAATAGTAAAGCAACAAAGGGTCGTCTTCTTCTTATGGCATTGTTTAGCTGTTGATATACAACGTAATAATGAAACTCCTTTATCACATGTTTCGCAGGTCTGGGGATTTGCTAGCAAATCTAATGTTTTGAAAATACAAAGTTCTATGAACAATCGCTAATACTTCTTAGTATTCGTAGAGTACCTTGAATAGAAATCAAAGTTCGAATAGAGAGAGCACGAACAAACTTCAATAAAATAGGATAGGTACTTTGTGCAAGAGAACTGACATTAGACTTAGGATGAGAGTTAGGCTGGCAAGGTGTTATATTTTGTCGACTCTACTTTACGGATGGAAGCATGGACTCTTAACGCGTCGACTACTAAAAAGTTGGAAGCATTTGAACTATCTATACAAGAATCCTGAAGATATCATGGATCGAGCATGTAACAAACAACGAAGTCATGTGAAGAGTTAACAAACATTTCTCGGAGTTATTCGACCTTTATCAACATCCGGCACTCGAATCAAACCATCGTTTTCCATGCTATTTATTAATTCTTTCAAGTTTTCTTTATGCTGTGGTTTATCAAGGATATCTTTCGGAAGGTCTGCATCTTCTAAGCCATTTATTCGTCTGCTGCCAAATATGGCCACATAAGGGTTCCTACCAATTCTTCTATAAAAGGATCTGTTTTTCTTGGACTGTATAAATCTCAACCCTTTGGACCATTTTGTATTACTATTATCGTTTACTCAGGTAATCAATAT